GGGATAGAGTTTCAGCAGCCATTAAAATGTAATGGTCTCCCAAATCAGATTAAAATATATCTAGAAATGTTTTCTAGGAGTAGAAATGGTACAGAAAAAGTACACTTCTTGGCATAGATACTGTGTAGCGAGTAGAAATGGTACAGAAAAAGTAAAGTTTTTGGCATAGTTACTGTGTAGCATAATCACACCGATTGTATTGCAGGCTTCCGTTGTTGGAATTAGATATTTAGTGGGAGTAGTGCTCAGTAGTTGGCAGGTCTTCTAATGTCTGACTTCAACATACCTCCATTAAAGTAATAGCTGATAAACCCCCTCTTTTGAATCCTGGCTTAATGATCACGATATTACAGTTGAATTAGAAAACAATGGGAGAGGAAACTTCAATGCCACTTCTATGGCTTAGTAAGAGTTCCTTTATCTGTTGAAAAGCAGGAAACTCACACACACATCATGTGTGGTGAAGGCTCCTTAGCGGTTTCACATCTTCAAACACCTGTTTAAAAAAACACCATAGAGCATTGGATCACCTTAATATTAATGTCATGCAGTAGCCTACCTAGTTATATTCAACCAACAACTGTCTCTGATAATATTCTATTCAATATTTGTGTTGTCTTGGGGGACAAAAGTAACTAATTCCCTGTAAACCCATAGAGGGCACCATACACTACTTTACATGAGAACACACTTCACACACACTAAACTGTGTTCTACAACACTCACTAGCACACACAATCTCTTACACACACTCTATCTCACACACACAGCCTCACCTCTCCCCACTCACCACTGCACTGCTCTGGAGTTTGAGGTGTAGAACTCTCAGAAGCACAACAACAACATTCCACGCCTGGTTGCAAGGCAACCCACAATCAGAACAGGTCCCTGTGATGTCACTGACTGACACCGAGTTCTAAATGTTTTCATTCAAAAAAATCTGAAAATAAACAAAAAGCAAATTGTATTTATAAAAGACCTTTCATATATTTCAAAGGGACAATGGGGCAATCTGGTTAAATAAACGTTAAATAAGTCAAATAAAATAAATCTTAGGCCTATATATCATGGTCACAAGGCATATGAACTAACAGGTTATAGAGCAAACAACGCAATTATCACAACAAATAGGTTGTAATATGGAATTTTTTTTCTGTCCTGATTTCCTCTGTGATTTTACCCACGCACTGCTACTGCTAGCAACTGACATAAATCCCAGAGTTTTAGTAGAAGCACGACTGAAGATAGAAAATAATTAGTTTAGCTTTGGCATTGGCTGCTTTCTGTGAATCTGTAGCAGCTACTGTCCTTTGATTCATGTAAAACCCTATCTAAACCATTTACTCTCTGTCCCCACTCTCCAGGCTGCAATCCACTCGCAGTTAGATGGGGTCGGTTCAGGTTCCGTCAGCTCCACAATGCCCTGGGGGACGTGAAGGACATCCAGAACTATGACGGTGCACGTTGAAAGTCACTGAGCTCTTCAGTAAGTGCATTCTACTACCAATGTTTGTCTATGGAGATTGCATGGCTGTGTGCTCGATTTTATACACCTGTCAGCAACGGGTGTGGCTGAAATAGCTGAATCTACTAATTTGAAGGTTTGTCTACATACTTTTGTATATATGGTGTATGTTCAGCTGAACCATTACATGCCACTTGATTGGGAACTATTATTGATGTCTTGCATTGCATTTGATGTGACACTGTACAGTTACCATGTATTTGTACATTAATATTTCTCCTCCCTTCCTGTGCAGTGCCTGAGAGTGTTCATGGAATTACCTCATGTACGATCAGTACCGCATGGGCAGCAATAAACATGCACAACATGAACCTCATTCGAAACTACTTTGGCAAGGTGCAGGCCATGTCGGACGACCTGGCCAAGCAACTGTGGATAATGCTGCACCAAGTCATGGGCAAGGTTGGAGGCAACAGTGAGCAGTGATGCTGGTGCAGTGCTTCCCAAGACATTACCACACCTTGACAGGTTCTTCAAGCTCTACAACAACAATGTCTACATGAGGGTGCAGGAACAGGCTGCAGAGGACCTGACAGCCAACACAATTATGTCCCTCCTCACCTCGGTCCTCAATTGATACTTACAAAAGTAAGTCTGTACTGCCGTCTCTGTGACTCATGTAGCATCAGTGATATCTGGGCAACAGTCCAATCATAACTTTCTATCATCTTAGGTTGTAAAGTAAATGTGACCCGTTTCAGGGCGCTAGGCGTATGTCACTACTTCACAGGAGAGGCATTTGAACGTAATATTTGTTTTTTTAATCAAAAAGCGTTTTGGGGCAGAAATGCCTTCTGGAACATGTGAACTTTCATGTGCCTTAATAACAAACGTATATGCCATCTGTAAATATGAATACAATTGTTAAATTACGAGCCTAGTTGGTTTAGCTACAGAAAAACACAGGAACCTTCCTTCTAGCCATGCTTGGCTGAGATAATGGTTGGGCTGGCCATGCCGAGAGATGAGTATGGA